CTATGAAACATCTTTTGGGTCATCAAAGTCAAGAGGAGTAGCTATAATAATAGCAAAGAAATGTAATTTTGCCATAAACAAGGTTTTGAAAGATGAGGTGGGAAGATATATAATAATATATGGGGAAATAGGGGAGGAAAAATATGTACTAGTAAATGTATACGCACCAAATGTAAAACAGCAAGAATTTTATGAAAAAGTGTTAGAGCAAATGGAGAATTACCACCAACAAAATGTAATATTTGGAGGAGATTGTAATTGCTGTATGGATTTAAAGAAGGATAAAACTACGATAGCATCAAAAGTTAGAAATATTGAAACAACGGAATTAAGTAGAGTAATGAATAAATGGCAATTAAAGGACGTATGGAGATTGGTAAAAGGGAATGAAAGCAGATATACATACTACTCACCGGTACATAAGGTGTATACAAGAATTGATTATATTTTTGTCTCCAAAAATATGACAAGTAAAGTACTAAATGCAAAAACATCTATTTCTGCTTCATTGACTATTCTAAAGCCTTTGACTGTGTGGATCATAATAATTTGTGGCAAGTTCTTGGTGGGATGGGCATCCCAAGCCACCTTGTCTCTCTCCTGAGGAATCTGTACAAGGACCAAGTAGCAACAGTAAGAACTGACCACGGAACAACAGACTGGTTCAAGATTGGGAAAGGCGTACGGCAAGGCTGCATACTCTCACCCAACCTTTTTAACTTGTATGCAGAACACATCATGCGATGTGCGGGGCTTGATGAATGCAAAGCTGGGGTGAAAATTGCTGGAAGAAACATTAACAACCTCAGATATGCAGATGACACCACTCTGATGGCCGAAAGTGAGGAGGAGCGGAGGAGCCTTCTAATCAAGGTGAAAGAAGAAAGCGCAAAAGCCGGGTTGCAGCTAAACATCAAAAAAACCAAGATTATGGCAACAAGAATGATTGACAACTGGAAAATAGAGGGAGAAACCGTGGAGGCCGTGACAGACTTTGTATTTCTAGGTGCAAAGATTACTGCAGATGCAGACTGTGGCCAGGAAATAAGAAGACGCTTACTTCTTGGGAGGAGAGCAATGTCCAGTCTCGATAAAATAGTAAAGTGTAGAGACATCAGACTGGCAACAAAGATCCGCCTAGTCAAAGCCATGGTATTCCCTGTAGTAACCTACGGATGTGAGAGCTGGACCTTAGGGAAGGCTGAGCGAAGGAAGAGAGATGCTTTTGAACTGTGGTGCTGGAGGAAAGTTCTGAGAGTGCCTTGGACTGCAAGAAGATCCAACCAGTCCATACTCCAGGAAATAAAGCCCGACTGCTCACTGGAGGGAAGGATACTAGAGACAAAGTGAAGTACTTTGGCCACATCATGAGGAGACAGGAAAGTCTAGAGAAGACAATTATGCTGGGGAAAGTGGAAGGCAAAAGGAAGAGGGGCCGACCAAGGACAAGATGGATGGCATCCCTGAAGTGACTGGACTGACCTTGAAGGAGCTGGGGGTGGTGACGGCCGACAGGGAGCTCTGGCGTGGGCTGGTCCATGAGGTCACAAAGAGTCGGAGACGACTGAACGAATGAACAACAACAACAAAGGGCTGTATGGAAAGATCCTCAAATGTTTGGATTTGCTTCCTTCCTTCCTTGATTTAATTGCCATTTAGGCACCATCGGCTTCTTCATGGGAGTTCATGTCTTCCCTTTTGCATAAGAATTCACTGAGCCCAGAAATATTATTCATAGAGTATTGTGAATCATGTTTCTAGATACAAAATTAGCTTTAAAAATTACATAAAAGAATATCTTTTCTCTCAAGACACACGAAAAGGCTCTATGTACTTCTAAAACATCTTGTGTGCATCTGTTTTAATCTACCTTTAATAACATTCTTCACTTACAATGGGTTTAAGACTAGAAAATTATGATCTATAACACTATGTAACACGGTTTTTGTTCCTGGGTTATAAATGTCATTTCTAATTGGTTCTACCATCAAAACATGGAAAACATTTATTAAACTGCAAAGACTTTGTTTTTCCAGGACATCCTGCAGCACATTTTTGCTATAGTTTTTCAATGAATATCTCATCGAGTCTCAACCAATTCAACATAGTTTGTAGCAGCCACAAAAACGTTTCTGCAGTATAACAACTTTCAAAGTAAGTACTGCACAATTAAATAGGAATAACACTTTCAAACCAAGAACATATTCTTCCAACTTTTGTTACATAGTGTAATATTTCATACTATATTATAGGTTCTGAATATGGTATGGGTCTCCACTTAAAAATAGCCCTAATCATTTCAATATCTCAATTCTTATACAAATGACCCAAGGATTTCAATTTGGCTGAGTCATTTCCTGGTTTAGCAACAACTACCTATTAATTCATTTTCTGTAACTACAGAGATTAATATAGCTCAGCAGATCTTATTTCATGTCAACAGTAATTATAATTCACACTGTAGGACATTACCTTTCATCTTAAGACATGAAAGCTCTCTTGTATTATTCAAAGTGTAAATACACTGAGAGGCAGAAAAAAGTATCTTTTATTACCATCTCCATTTAAAGAGGTCATAGACTGAAACTGGCTGGTTTTTGATCATTTTTCTTAATGCAGTGTTGCTGCCTTTTAACGGCGAGGAAATTGTGTGCAGGAAGTACATATAATTGATTTCAATTTGTTGTGATGTTCTTAAAATTACTAAGGCCGGGCAACAAAACAGTGTCAAACCTTATCCCAACAGC